CAGCTTTTAAAACAACTGGAACCATCACATTTATTATTTTTACTGGACTGACATCCAACGTGCAGCAGGGATGGATAAAGTCCTTCATCGAGCAGCAGCATGCACTGCGAGCTCGATGTCGGCTCTGATCCTCAGCTCAGACTGAGAGCTGAATGGGGTTCAGGGCAGCTGGTCACAGCAGCGTGCGTCTCTGCATATATGGATTTAACATTGGTCGTCCTTGAGGGCTTCCTGATTGAATCACGGAGGCCCGATGACGTCATGCGAGGTATAAGTTATATTTGGGATGGGAGGGAGTGGAGGCTGGAGAACGAGACGGGGATGAGTCACTTCGCCACCGATGACTGCCTCCAGTGAGCGGTCAGATAATTCAGGTACACGAAGAGATGCAGGCACAACACGACCGCCTAATGGTACTCAAATAAAATGACTTATTGGGAACTTGCAAAATACACCTTTTAGGAAGATTAAACGGTAATGATGCCCCCCCACCCCCCACCCCCACCCGCCACTCCTCCTCTGAAATGGGCCCAGTGGTGATGAATCCAGTTACTCTGAATTCAATTTACGATGCTGATTTAGATAACTAGGATTTTCTCTGCTGTCGTGGGAGCTCTTTGTGAAACATTTAACAAAAACGATCTGATCTATTAAAGAGCTTTGATCTAAATTTATGTCCCACGTTGTAAAGATGCTAAATCTCTGATGACAGTCGTATACTTTGTATTCGTGGCTGGATCACTGATGGTGCCTTCTGAAACAGAAGGTCACATGCAACCCTGGAGCCTGAAATGACAGATTTGGCAGCACGATGGATTAATGGTTAGTACTGCTGCCTCACCGCAAGCAGGTCGTGGGTTCAATCCCCAGCTTGGACCTGCAGAGTCTTTGTGTGGAGTTTGCATGTTCTTCTCATGTTTCTCCGGTTTCCTCCCTCAGAACAAAAACATGCATGTTTTTTTTCTTCTTCAGATAAAAATCCTTGAATGCCTGTCACCCGCCATCTTTCATGCCAACTACATAATGTTCATGTTGTGATTAGAAGAAATTTACTTCCTTTTTTTCCTCCAAAACTATGTGCTCTCATGTGATGATGCAAGGTCTCATGATCTCTTAGGGCTTCAAGCATAAATTGAGGTTTACTCTCAGCTACTACCACACCAGCTTGCAGCTCACTATCTGTTAAAATGGCTGACTTGTAGTCATTTGTGTGTTGGTTTAGGTTAATTAACTGTGGCGGCCATCTGGAATTGGGTTGACTCCAAAAGTGAATGAGTTGTAGAGGTATATCCACTTATTACGCTCCGAAGGTTTCATGAAAATTCATTAAGTGGTTCATTAGATATTTTGCTAACAGACATAATTGACTCAAATAGTTCATGAAAATTTAAAAACAGATCTTGTGCAATCAGTTAGCAGTGTTTCAGTTGAGGATCACTTTCAGCTACTATCATAGTAAAATTGAACTTAATATTTGTATTTTAAATTAATATTTGCCTAATTAATGTTTTTTTTTTCTTTCGTTAAGGTTTCTTAGCTGTGGCAGCCATCTTGAATTGACTCATATTTAATAATTTGTAGATGTACAGCCAATCATTACTTTCTGAAAGTTTAATATTCATTCAGTAATTCCATATTTTAGTAAGGGTATAAACAAACACACGCACAGGCAAAAACTATATTTGCTCAATTTTCTGTGTAAGGTGAAAATATACATGAAAATGTAAAAAATAAAACGGGTGCAAAGTGTAAATCTGTATTGGCTACAAGATAGAGCCACATTATGTTGAGCAAGACTTTATGCAGTTATACAAACTGTAAATAAAAACTGCATGCAGACAATATTGTTTCACGACCACATCATGCTGCAGACAGGTCAAAGGTCAAAGCCGGCAGCAGTAACAGGTAAACTCCAGCAGAGGGCGCACATCCCACTCCCACAAGAAATAACCCATCACCAACTCACCTGGAGATTCTTCTTTCTAAAATTAGTCACGATCAGACGTGGTTTTATTTTTTTAGTCCCGATTTTAAACCTTTGACAGAATGACAAACAAGACAACATGAAATGTTCAGCTCAGAGATTTATTCATTCATTCAACCTTTATTTAGACAAGTTAATCCCACTGAGCCACAGGGACTCATTTACAAGAAAGACCTCAATTTAAATATTAAATACTGGGTAATAAAAGGTTTTGACTGATTTTCTTTACTTTAATAAAAACTAAGCTTAAAGAAGCAGAAACATTACTCTAATGGTTTTGTAATCATGTTGATAAACTACATCATGAGGGTAAACTGGAATGCTATACTTGAATTACGGACAACCGTGGTGCATCAGGGGAAATAAGGCGTAAAGAATCAGTGTTTTCTGTTAACATGTCTAATATATTTGATGGAAGTGATGTTTATCTGCGACAAGATGAAGTATGAACGAGAAATTATACTTTCCTAAAGTTGTCTTTTTACAGGTTTATTTCTCCAGGGGTGGCACGGTGGTACCTCTCAGTGAGGCCAGATCAAATCCCAGCCGGGGGCCTTTCTGGGTGGAGTTTGCATGTTCTCTCTATGCATGCGTGAGTTTTCGCCAGGTACTCCGGTTTCCTCCCACAGACCAAAACCATGCATGTTAGGCTGATTGGTAACTAATTGCCTCTAGGTGTGAATGAGAGAGTGAATGGTTGTCTCGATGTGTCCCTCTGATGGACTTGGACCTGTCCAGGGTGTCCCCCGCCTCTCGCAGTGGCTGCTGGATACCAGTGACCCCCTGCGACCTTGAGGCTGCAGTGCAAAATAGCTCAAAGCACTGATTTCTGTTGTGATTGAGACTTGCGTGAAAAGAAGTCCATACAGACACCATGTAGCAATCCCAGGATTAAAATCCCAAACAACCATAATCCACTATTAAATGGAAGTTTTCTAACAGGTTTGACTCTAGAAATAATTCTTTGCTACTTTAAATTTCCTTTGAAACTCATCATTTTTCTCTGCACATGGTGTAGCACCGGAAAATCCTTTTGTACGTTTGGTGTCGCTGAAGATGTATATTGCTTTGAAGTTTTTAAAAACTTTTAAATAAAACTTGTATGGACTTCACTCATTTTTCAGCACAGGGTCACAAATAAAAACACTCCTACTCTTTTAACCTACATACAAAAACAACAAAATACTCCCGTGTCCCATTAACAACAAGATGAGCAGTGTTAACCGTCTACAGGACTGTGAACAGAAGGAATGAGATTAGAAGTAGCTGCTCTCAGATCTACCTTTGATCAATTTGACTTATTGCATCTGAAACACAAAAACTAAATCTGCCTCCTCAGTCATTAGGATGCTGCTTTGGCTAAACATACTGTTAAACTTTGCACAAGTAGTCTTTTGAAAGATGTAACCAACAAGAATTTACTCGAAGATGAAGCAGTCTTATGATGGAGTTAATGTACTGGCTCCCTCTTGTGGTAAAAACATGATACTGTCAGGTCCTCAGGACAGATTCTTTTGTTGAAACGTTTCATTCTTTATCCAAAACACTTGTTCAGTCTGAGGAGCTGCAACCAATTCAGTCTTATAAGCAGCACCTTCTCATAGTGGATCAGTCAGTTTGCTGGAGACAGACAAAATTATTTGTTCACATGCAAAATGACCATCAGCCTAACAATTGATTTGTTAGTGCCATGGTGGACGCTTGCTACTCGCAGAAGGCTGAGTGATACTAGCAATAACATCATTGTAAGAGGAAGACAGTTGAACAAGAAGGCCTCCACCCCTGTTTAAGGATGGATGAGTTATTTTCAAAGATGGCTTCTCTCAAGGATGTGAACATCTTCATCCTTGAAAGAGTGACCGCTGGCCTGGAGATGAGTGTAGACCGCAGAGTCCTGGCCTGATGGTGTTGATCTTCTGTGCTGGGCCATCCTTTTGGCCAGTGGCTGTTTTGTTTCCCCGATGTAAGACTGATCACAGCCCTCCTGACACTGAACAGCATACACAATATTACTCTGTTTGTGCCGGGGGACTGGATCTTTGGGATGAACCAGTCTTTGCCGTAATGTATTTTGGGGTTTAAAAGCCACTGGGACATTATGTTTAGAAAATAAACGTCTCAGTTTCTCTGATACTCCCTCAACATATGGAATGACCACTGGTCTGGGTTCCTCCTTTTCACCTGTTGGCTGACTGGAGTCCTGTTTGGGTTTCTTCTCTGCTTTCAGGAAGGCCCAGTTAGGATATCCACATTGCTCTAGAGCCTGTCTTGTGTGGGATTTCTCCTTCTGCCTGGCTCCTGAGCTAGTGGGGATGCTGTCTGCTCTGTGATACAGAGTCCTGATGACTCCTAACTTGTGCTCCAAAGGGTGATGGGAGTCAAACTGCAAATACTGGTCTGTGTGGGTGGGTTTGTGGTACACCTCAGTTTGCAAATGTCCTCTATCAGAGACTGAGACCTCACAGTCCAAGAAAGCCAACCTGCCATTTTTTACATCTTCTCGTGTGAACTTGATGTATTTATCCACAGAGTTGATGTGGTCAGTAAAATGTTGGACTTCCTGAGATTTAATTTTAACCCAGGTGTCGTCAACATACCTGAACCAATGTCTTGGTGGTGTCCCTGAAAAGGACATCAAGGCTCTCTTTTCTACCTCCTCCTTGTACAGGTTGGCAACAATAGGATAAACTGGAGACCCCATAGCACACCCATGTTTCTGCCTATAATATTGCTCCCCATATGTGAAGTAGGTTGACTGCAGGCACAGTTTCAAGAGTTGACAGTTGTTCTGTGGAAAGTGTGGTCCTGCTGCTCAGAGTGGTGTCTGATTTTAATTTTAAACTGACCACCTCTACTGCATCATCAACAGGAATGCACGTAAAGAGTGATGTGACATCAAGAGACCATTGTTTCATCAGTCTCCATGATGACATCCCTCACCTTATCCACAAAGTCCATGGTGTTCTGTATGTGGTGTTCTGAGCTGCCAAAGGGTGGAACTACTGTTGGATGCAGTCACACATTTAATCTGAAGAAACTCAAACAGAAATAACATCAATGAAACAAGACCATATCAAAATAAAGGCCACTGACAACAACAACAAAGTGCTTCTGATCACGTGAGTCTAAAGTGTTCACATATCAAAAGTGAACGAAATCACATCCTGACTCCTGATCAGAGCCTCCTTCTGCACCCCGATGGGAGTCTGCAGGTCCGACACCTGAAAGTTCAGCACGTCAATATCCGACGCTCCAAACGTAGCCTCGACGTTCACCTTCTCATGCATGTGGAACCGAACCTTCTTGTTAGTTACGGAGAGCAGACAGCGCAGGAAACGCTCCCTCAGCACAGATCGGGCGTGCTGCTCTTTCTGCAGCTCCTCGGCGTCCAACGCAGAAGCAGATGAAGTGGAAAGAGACGTGCGGCAGAGAGCGAGGAAGCGGGGCGACTTGGGGTCAAAACCTCGGCTGTTGGGGTCGGGTCCTTTAGGCAGACGGAGCACAGACACCGGCGTCGCCATGACAACGTTCTGTCAACACCTGAGGAAGAAAATAATTATAAAAATGGACCTAGCATTAAACAGCCAGTGAAAAAGCAAACATTTAAATCTGTTTATCTTGTAATTTATTTACTTCAATAAGCAACACACAAACAAACAAAAAAATATTGGGACTTTCCCATTGGAAAGAAAAATAGCTCCACTAGTGCTCAGAGTAAGTGAAAATTAAAATACTTTTCTGCTCGAAATGATTTGTTTGTTGCCAATGCACAGAAAAGCACTCCAAACATGTCATTATTGTAAAATTGTCTACCAGTGCACAACAGCTGCCTGCATCCCAGCATGCCACTTTGGGACTTGATCCTCGGATTGATGTGATGTGTCAAAAAAAAAATGTTTGAAGTAACTCTTTAACTGTCAAATCATTATTATTTTGTTGGTAATAAAACAAACAAAACAAACCCTTTTGTTAAACGTCTGAATTTATACTCGATTACACAAAAACAAATTAATATTTTGCATTTCAAAATGACAATCAAATCACTGCTCCTGTTTTTGTTTTCCATTACTGGTTTTTAATGGGAAAAATCCATCAAACCCAAACAGTTTTTGTGGTTAACTCTAAAGACCAAGTCTTGCTTTGTGGCCTTTGCCTCTGCTGCTCCATCTGACTGGAATCTGCTTCAGAACACTTTGGGTGTGACCCCACTTGTCTACGTTTCTAGTTTTTTTTATCGTTTAAGCCGTTTTTAAAGATATTTGAAATGTTTCAAGCTTATTAATGTTGTCGTTTGACTATAAACTGTTGTTAATGTAATTTGTGATTTCCTTGTTTGTTATTGACAATTGTATTTTCTGCCGTACATGTCGCACCGCCGTATAAGTTGCATCAGTCCAAATATGTCAAAGTGGAAAAAAACATAAATAAGTTGCTTTGCAGTATAAGTCACAGGGCATGCAAATTTATGCAAAAAAGTGTGACTTATACGGTGAAAAGTACGGTACTATATTTTATTGTTTTTGCCTAACTGTATTGTTTCCCTTCCCTTGACCCTACAAGTGCCTGTTGGTGTTTGCCAGCTCTGTAAATAAGAATGTGCTCTTAGTGTTTGTCTGGTTAAATAAAGGTGAAATGAAAACATGCACTACCTCACAATGACATCTTATTTTTGGTTTAGGTTTTTTTTCCAGGGTGGCACAGTTGGTAGAGCTGTTGCCTCTCAAGGCTCCCAGCTGGGGGCATTTCTGTGTGGAGTTTGCATGTTCTCTCCGTGCACGCATGGGTTTTCTCCAGGTACTCCGGTTTCCTCTCACAGACCAAAAAACATGCATGTTAGACTGACTGACGACTCTAAATTGATCCTAGGTGTGAATGAGAGAGTGACTGGTTGGTTGTCTCATTTGTCTCCATGTGGCCGTGATGGACTGGAGACCTGTCCAGCGGGTCCCTCGCCTCTCGCACAGTGACTGCTTGATATGGGCACCAGTGACCCCGTGACCCGAAAAGGAAGAAGCTGTTAAAAGATGGATGTTTTTTTCCCAGCACCGTTTGATGATTGCTCAACATTCTTGGTGTCCTTTAATAACAGGCTTGCATTTTTTTTTTAGGAAAACAAAGATTGCCGTACGAGTCAATCCATCCTTTGATGGGTATCATGCAGTCTGTCACCTGACGGATCTTCTTTAAACTTTACGTCCGCATTGGGAATTAAACTAATGGTGGGCCCAGGAATCGTGTCAAAACTTGTTTATCTACAGGCTTGGGAATATTTGAATGTTCAGGCTTTGACGTCAATGAAATAATGCAACACATATCGAAGGCACAAACACACCCATTATCAGAAACTGTGGGCTTTCCTCGGCTGGTAACTTACAATCACCGCAATGATTTATTATCAGCCATTATTAATTTATCATTTAGACTGTTATAAGCAAAACACACAAAAAAATGATAATTATATTTGAACAGACGTGATTTTATGACTAAAAAGATTTGAAGCTCTCGACCTTGACCTCTGACTTTAAGAATATGTTGGAGTCCTGGCAGGGACCAATGCAGACATGCTCCTGTTTTTAGTTTTATACATTCGCCTTACAATCTAGCTGTTTTTTGTTAATTTTCTTTTTTTAGCCATCCTATTTCCTTAAAAAAAAATAAAAAAATCTGTATGCTTTTTTAAAACAGTCTATTGTTGTCGCTGTTGTCATCTTTCTTTGTTGAAATCAGGTGTCTCTTGTAAATGAGTCCTCGAGGCTCAATGGGATTTACCTGTCTAAATAAAGGTTGAATGAATGACAATTTCTGCATTAAAAAACGCCGAGTATCAACTTTGCAGAATTTATTTTGTGCCTATAAATCCAAACGGTGGATTTAATTGAACAGTTTGAAAGCGTGAAAGTATTTTATCTTTAACCTGACTGATTTAATAAAAAAGTTTAGACCGAGGGTTTCAAAACAAAGAAAAAACATTTGTAGCTTCACGAAAAAGTCTGAATCGTGTTTTGTTTCCAAATAACACACGAGGTCTAATTTAGATAAAATATCCCCACAAAATATGCTTTTTTTTACCCTCCTTGGTGACCACGGCGCAATTATGGATGGACATTTAAATGAAAAACACCTCTGTAGTACTTTTACTTACTCGGGTTTCTTCTGTTAGCACATATGTCGATGTGTTAGCGGCATTAGCATTAGCATCAGCGATCAACTTCTTCTTCGTGGGATTTATTAGAGCTGCGTTACCGCCCTCTGCTGACGGAAACATTAAACAACGTTTCACTAGTTCCTACTTTTCTCTGAACAATGCGCAATAAGAAAAAATATGCAATGCAGTTACTTTCTTCTTCCTACCGCCTTATATTATTATTATTAACTTATTTATTTTATTGGTGCTGTTGCTGCTGTTGTTAATTTTAGTACTAGATGTAGTACTAAATGTGATCTATTCAATTCAGTTCAGTTTACAACAAAGTCCATGCTCAATAATCCAGGTATACAATCCAACATTTTTCAGTCAGGTCATCTGGACAGTTTCTTTTGTCGTGCTGAAACATTTCACCTTCGGTCCGGAAGGCTTCATCAGTCAAGGAAACATTCAACAAAACTGATTATTCCCCCAACAGCTTACTCCAAAGTGGAACAAACCAGTTCTGCTTGTGATAAGATCCATCCATCCATCCATTATCTTTACCCGCTTATTCCATTTTGGGTCACGGGGGTCGCTGGTGCCCATGTCCAGCAATCACTGTGCGAGGGCCGGGGTACAACCTGGACGGGTCGCAAGTCCATCACAGAGACACATAGAGATAAACAAGACAAACAACTTTTCACTCTCTCACTCACACCTAGGGACAATTTAGAGTTACCAATCAGCCTAACATGCATGTTTTTGGTCTGTGGGAGGAAACCGGAGCACCCGGAGAAAACCCACGCATGCACGGAGAGAACATGCAAACTCCACCCAGAAAGGCCCCCGGACCAGGGTTTGAGCCAAGGACCTGCTCACTGAGAGGCAGCAGCTCTACCAGTTGCGCCACCGTGCTGCCCTTGTGATAAAATGTTTAATTATATATCACCAAGTCACAACAGAAGTCACCTCAGGACACTGTACAAAACATTCACATACATTTAAGAAGCCAATTAGTCAGTTATCTATCTATGGAAGCCAGCAGATTGTGTTGAATCTTCACTTCATCACAGTCTCCCATCCTGAGCAAGCACAAAGGCAACAGTGGAAAGAAACAACTCCCTTTTAACCAGAAGAGACCTCCAGCAGAACCAGGCTCAGGACAAGCGGCTATCTACTTCGACCAGCTGGGGTTTGAGAGGACAGGAAGGAGAAAACGAACACACAATGGCAGATTTGATCTAACAACTGATAAATTGTAAATAAAATAAAATAAAATAAAAAATAAATCAGCTCAGTACATGTTATTCTGCATTTAAGGACAAAGCTGTTTTGAAGTCTGTTTTTGAAACACACTGTTTTATGCACATTTAGTTTTAAAAACAATATTTTTATCAACTCAATTTGCTCTACTAAACAAACAAAAATTCCTCAGACCACATTTATCACATCATCTTTTGTCTTGTAGATTTAATAAATACAGATAATTCTAGCAATATGTAAACATGTATGGGAGAAGGAAACTAACAAACATTTGCCAAAACTCAGCATGCGGATTTTGTTACATGTTTTTAAAAAAGTTAGGGTTGTAAGGAAGTAATCACTGAAATTTCAACTAACTCTGAGATGTTATAAAAAGCACTGAAATAAATACTGTTTGAGTCAAGGTCAAGGTTTCTTTATTGTCATTCGCATCACATGTAGTACATGTGGTAGAACAACATTTTGTACACAGTGTCTCAGTTACATCCAACAAAAGTATAAATTGTAAAAGAAAAACAGTAATGAGATCCAAGATATGAACCAAGAAATAAGCTAAACTAAGAATACGCTAAACACTCATAGTACAAAAACAATATGCCATAACAACAGCAGCACGAACATGAGTCTGTGTGAGCAGATGAACACGAATGAACACAGCAGCATGAAATAAATCAGCAGCATGAGATCAGCAGCATGGACAGCAAGCAGCACAAACCAACAAGTGGCATCACAGTGATCTTTTTGAGTCCTATTTTGCAGTAAAATATCTTTGACACCTAATATGTTTATTGCTGCTGCACTGTGTGGCTGTATCATGAATATGTCACGTATGTCATATCTCATGCCATATATACCATATATCATGTACAGCATGTCACATATGCCTACATTATGTATGTCACCACCTTACCATCACAATTAATTATAATAATCACCTATTAATCTCAATGTTACTCACTACCTGTGCAATAACCTGTGTAGTTTATGTTACTTATGTGCAGTACTGTATTTATCATGTGCATTTAAGTTTATATTACTACCTATGAAACACTTATTCATATAAATTCAACCTACTTGCATGTTATAATCTACCATGTTGTTGTTTACTATATTTCTTTTGAACATTGTAAATATTATCTTTTTCACTTTTTGGTACTTTATACCCGTAGTGCATGCTTTAGTATTTCTTGTTTTTGTTTGTTTGTTTGTTTGTTTTTAGAGAGTCAAATCGGGCTTTCCTCATCCAGAACTTTTAATGGCACTGTTGACCTTGTGTTAGCCTGCATATGACAAATAAACAAAATGACATTATAAAGAAAGGTAAATAAAATGTAGTTTAATGTTACAAATACAAAATTGTTGTAAATACGTTTTTAACATAATTACACCAATAACATTGTTCCAGGTTGATTTAGAAACAAAAGAAAGTGCACTTTGTCATATAAAAAAAAATGGATACACAAACAATCAGTTCAAAACTTCATTAAATCAACAACAAATAAACAACAAATAAACAACAAATCTTTAACTTGTTGGCAAATCAGAGAACAGTCAGTTTCACAGAAAGTCAAGTTTTTAGTCTGCTCATTCTGCTGGCTTCCGTTCTGAGATGACTCTGCCCTCCTGAAGCAAAGTTATTGGTTTTCAAGAATCTTATCGGGGGCTTCCTCTTACTACACCCTGTCCCCTGGCCCAGTGTTCATCAGAACCGAACCCCGATGGCTAACGGTCTCACAGAAAGAGTAAGAATACTCAAGGTCCCTTCCTGTTAACAGTTAAAAAGAGCTGAGTGCAGTTAAAATTTCAACCAGTTCTTTAGAAACTGAGAGTTTAGCCTTGGCTGATAGGTTTCTACTTTCACGCGGGGGAGAGGTAAAAAGCAGAATCTGGCCTTGTCTTCTATACACTCTTTCTTGCAGACTATGAAAAAACACTTTCTGTATTTTCAGGTCTCTCTTGTAAATGAGTCCCGAGGCTCAGTGGGATTAACCTGTATACATAAAGGTTGAATGAAAATTCTGTATGATTCTGTGCTGACCTGCTTATGTGTTTTTATTGCAATAAATCACTCAAGACCTTTTAAGTGAAGGCAGTTATTTTATTTCACCTGTTTCTGTGTTAAGACCATGGCATCTCCAGTCACAGCCTCGTTCCACAAACAGTGATAACATGTCAAACAACATTGTAATAGCATTCACAATGACCTAACAAAATAAAAAGGGTTATAAAGTTTATTAATAAGGTGAAATAATGTTGAATGTACCTGGAAGATCAACATATATTCCCTTTGCACATTTTAAAATGCGTTTTGTTTTTTGTTTTTTCAGTTTTGCACTAATTCATTTCAACAGATAAAATAAGAAAAGGGTCCAAAATTTTAGCGTAGACTTCGACATTTATAAGTGCTATGTGTTGTCATCATCGTATGTTCCCATACAATGGTAAAATTAGTTCTCTGCATTTAACCCATTGCACCTGAGATACACCCAGGTAGAGCAGTGGGCAGCCATGCAAGCGCCCAGGGAACAATCAGGGATTATGTGGCTTGCTCAGACACTACAACATGTGGGAATGACTGGGGATTAGACCTGGGACTTTGGGTCCCAGGTCAGCTGCCCTACCTCTACACCATCTCAGCCCTCAGTTGAAGGTTATCTCCATCTCCATCTTCTATCACTTATCCATAGTCAGGTAGCGAAGGAAACAGGTCCAGGTGAGAAACCCTGACATCCCTCTCCCCAGCAACATATTCAAGATCCTCCTGGGGCACCCCAAGGCCTTCCCAGGTAAGAGAAGATACACATACCCTCCAGTGAATTCTGAGTTTGTTCCAGGGTCTCTTCCCAGTGGGATGTGCACAGATATCCTTCAAAGGGAAGCATTCTAATAAGATGCACAAACCACTTCAACTGACTCATTTTGATGTGAAGGAGCAGAGGCTCTACTTTGAGTTCCCCCCAGATGACAGATTTCCTCACCCCATCTCTTAGGTTGAGCTCGGCCACCGTACAAAGGATGCTCATTTCAGCTGCTTGTATCTAGAACCTTATTTTTCAGTCATGATCCAGGCCTCATGGCCATAGGTGGGAGTTGGAACATAGACAAACCAGAGAGTTTTGCCTTTCAAATCAAAAACCAGTAAATTGAAAGCTCTGCCTTTCGACTCAACTCTGAATGCCCCAGCGCACACTGAAAGTCTCGGCCCGAAGATGCCAACGAAACCACGTCATCCAGACCAAGCTGAGATGAGACGCTGCTGTTTTCAAACCAAACACCCAACTTAAGATCCAGTTCATAAACACCACAAACACCTTGATGTGTAATGATGATATTGGGAAATGACTCCAGCCTCCTACTTTGAGCTGTTAGCCTCCTACTCAAAGTTATGTGAGCGTATCTCCCAACACTCTGAGAAACCAAAACAAAGCACAGCGTAGGATAGGAGATCATCAATGTTCATCAAAGCATTAAAGCATAGAAGAGGGCTTGCTTTCCTTTTCTGAGTCACCAAATTGTTTGACAGAATGTCTTTGAGGAAAAAGGGAAGTCCTTCTCTATGGCCTATTGTACTCTAAATCCTCCCATGCCTGAATTTTGCATCAGCAACCAATTTAAGCTGCAGTTCTTTTGGCCACCATGTCAGGTGCTTCAGGAGTCCATTGGGACAGTCAAGCTCTAAAGGCTGACTACTTCATCTCAACAGCCTCTGTCACCACTGGTGTCCACCACTAAGGCCTTTGGTTACCATCGCAACAGGCACCAATGACCTTCAGATCACAAGTCCTGAAAGTTGCATCTGCAGTAGAAGCCCTGAACATGTACCATTCAGATTCCATGTCTCC